ATCATCACCATCATCATCATCGTCATCTTCTTCGTCGTCATCTTTTTCATGTCCATCGTCATCACCATCATCTTTATCATTAACTTAGCTACCGTTAATTAAGACAGGCTTCTCAATACAAGGGGCACGAAACATTACGTAACTGAAACTTTTGTTGTTCCTAACTAATATTGAGTTAGAGATTGGCGTGTGTGTGTGTTTCTGTTTGTTTGTGTGTGCGTGTGTTAGTTTCGCTCCTGTGGTTTTTGCTGATCAAAGAATTCTGCTAGTTGGTCAGTCAAAGATTTTTATTCTATTGTAAATAATCGCGTTTTCCAATCAATCAGAGATCAATCAATCAATCGATCGATCAATCAATCGATCAATCGATCAACAAATCAATCAATCAATCAATCAATCAATCAATCAATCAATCAATCAATCAATCAATCAATCAATCAATCAATCAATCAATCAATCAATCAATCAATCAATCAATCAATCAATCAATCAATCAATCAATCAATCAATCAATCAATCAATCAATCAATCAATCAATCAATCAATCAATCAATCAATCAATCAATCAATCAATCAATCAATCAATCAATCAATCAATCAATCAATCAATCAATCAATCGTTCAGTCAGCCAATTTTGTCATTCAATTAACTAGTTATTCATTCAAACGCTTAATCGAACGTTCATTCATTCATTCATTCGTTCATTCATTCATTCATTCCTGTAATTATATATATATTTAGTCATTCATTAAAATATTTAACAAGTCATTTTAGAACAAAATTTTTTTTAATTATTCAAATCAATCACTTATTTTCAATTTTCACAAAAACAAGCAACATCTAAACAATGATAATGATGAGGATAATGATGATGACGACGACGATGATGATGATGACGCGTGTCAACCATTTGAAAATATTATAAACTGTATAATAACTTGGCGCCATTCAGAATAAACTTGGTATGTGTGTGTGCGTGTGTATGTGCGTGTGTGCGTGTGCGTATGTGTTTGTGTGTATGTGTGCGTGTGTATGTGTGTGTACAAACGTTGGTAGTAATAGCATGGAGTCACAGTAGTAATATTATTAAGTCTTTAACAGCAGTTTTATCATCATCTTTAGTATCTCTGGTATCATCCTTGGTATCATCTTTAGTATCATCCTTTGAATCATTTTTTGTGTTATCATAGATATCATTTTTGGTATCATCTTTTGCATCATCTTTTGTGCTATCATAGATATCATTTTTGATATCATCTTTTGCATCATCTTCATCTTTATTGGACTCGCTAAAATCATCCTCATCAACATCATCATCGTCATTGGAGGTAATTAATTTTACTTGACGATTGTCATCGTCATCTTCATCGTCATGGTCGTCGTTAGAGGTCTACGCGGGAACACATTTCTATTCCCTCACCCGACTGCCGATTTGTCTATATTTACCAAACTGCCAACACGAGGTTGTCGTCGAAATAAAAAAAACAAAATGAAAATAGAACTCGCTGATCACGTATTTATCTGTGTAAACAGCTGATAAAGACAGATTCTGTATTCAAGCTGCATACTTAATGTTGTGTTTTGCTGTTTTGAAGAGTTGAAACACAAACTAAATAGAAAACAATAAGCGTAATGTACGTATACTAATTTATTACGTAAAATAAATATAACGTTTTATAACCAAACGAATTGAAACGAATTGAACGAACAAAAAAGCACGTCACAGTAAAAGTCACACTGTACATTAATTATCGCCCAAAAACAAATAGAATAAATGGCCCCATGGTAGTACATACCCTGCACATAACACAATGAATATTATTTAGCGTAATGCATATGCATCTGTGAGCTTGCTTAGCTTTAAACATAGTAATAATAATGTAAATTTTTCAATTGCGTTGCTGTTCAAGCTATGAAGTTTCTCATTAATTTTCAACATTTTTGGAACTTCGCCATCAAAGTCAAGTAAACTGCGGTTTTCCCTCTAAAATTTTTCCCGTCCCTCGGTACTTCCCGCACAAAAAATATCCGCCCCGCGGTTTTCCCTCGATTTTCATTCCGCCCCGCGAGTTTCCCTCCAACTTCTGTTCCCAAACCGCAGTTTTCCCGCGGGTATTTGCGGGAAAATTTGCGGGAAATTTTCCATGTAGACCTCTAGTCGTCGTCGTCATCGTAATTTTGTTATTATCGCTGAATTTTTCTTCACGTGTGTGTATAGATATATGGACAGACATTTAAATGTGTACCTATGTAAATTACGTGTGTATGAATGTGTGTAAGTATGTTTGTATGTATGTGTGTATGTATGTATGTTTGTATGTTCGTTAATGTATAAAATTTCGTTTCGTTTCGTTTCGTTGTATATATGTATGTTTATGTACGCAAGAAATACCCAACTCGTACGCATTCCTTTGTGATGTTCGTAGGTGACGATGGACATAATTGATACTTGATACGCTTGATATTGTATGTATGTATGTGTGTATGTATGTATGTATGTGTATGTATGTAT